TCTGTGTTAATTGGTTTCCCTTTTCTTTGTTGAAGAGGGTCTGTGCAGTCCTTCTGCCTAGTCCGCCATCTTGCCGGAACTCCACGTGAATTCTTCTTAAGTCACTAAGATTCTGACTCCATAGCATTTTTAACTCTGATTATGAAAGATCACTCAACTAAAGCCTTTGGGATTATAAAGAGCTAAGCAGTTTAGAGATGGGCACAATCAGAATCATAGTCTCTTAGAAGTGAAAAAAGAACCAGAGGACTCTGGGTCCCACCCACCAGCTGAGAGGAGTTCACTGGGACAGCTTCTTAGAGAGCTGGTCATCCAGCCTTTGCTCTTCATGCCCTGAGGATTGTAAGAATGTCTTATGAATGGCAACCTGCTGCCTTAGACCTATTACTGACTCTGAAACAATGCCAGATTTGTTGCTCTGTGATGAGGTCTTGCTATGAGGCCTGTTAGGCCTCTCTTACAAAGTATGAGTTTCAGGCTTGCAGGGACTGAATGGACAGAGTCATCCTTGCCTCATCCTAAAATATCCTGTGAACAAACATGACCCAGCAGCAACTTGACAGCAGCTCTGTTTTGGGTTCTAGTATCCTAACTCCCATCACCTGCAGACAAACCTAGCAAGGCACTTCCCCATCCAAGTCCTGGAATCTCTGAGGAAACTGAGTCCTTGTTTGTATACCCAATATTCTGATACTGCCCAACTCCACAGAGCGCCTACTCTGCATGTTCTACAGCCACATGCTCAAAGGCCAGATAGCTCAAGTTATAGACAACGGGAAAGGATGCCCAGGTAGCTGTAAACCAAGATATACCACTAATCCTGTAGGCTAGGTCTGCTGGAGTGCTTGGCTGCTACTTAAAACCTATATACAGTGTACAACAAGATCTCGGACCAGAATCTTGTGGCTCCTCCCCTACCCCAACCAAAAAACCCAAATAAACCAGAAAGTTTAAAATCAAGTAACAGCTGAACTGCTGGAAGGAAATTTAGCAGTCATATGATCTAATCCCTTTCCCTAATTTGATGCTTTAGTCTCTGCTAGGGAATCACCATCAAGTGGCCATTCAGTTACTATTTGCATACTTCAGTGATGCGGAGCTTGCTATACAAAGGATGGTCTCATCTTTGGTGAGCTCTGAAGGTTAGACAGTTTTTTTTTTTTTTTTTTTGGATGAGCCTGGGTCCCTCTTATATTCCTTTATTCCCAGGACTTGGTTCTACCTGCTGGGCTGACTTCAAACTAGTCTGTTCCTTCTGCCCTTTGACAGTCCTTCAAGTCTTGGAAACAGTGATCCTGTCTGGCTGTCACTCCTTGGCTGAGGCATCTCTTTGGCAAATAGACTTTTAGCTTTTACTTTTAGGGTGCATTTCCAGGCCTGTCCTCATCTTGCTTTTCTGGATAGAGATCTCCTCTATCAAAGTGGACGATTCAAACTTCACCTCTTCATCACAACCTTACCCAGTTAGAACTGGCACTCCTCCCCCTGGCTTCCCATAGCACCATGTACATTCCCTCTTATAGCCCACATCACATTGTATTACAATGACTCATTTAGCTCTCTGGCACAGGAACATTATTTGCATCCTCCCATTCTTCCTAGAACCTAGCCAAGTGCTTGAGGGTTAAAAGTTTAGAGAATGAATGCAAGAGGGGCACTGCTAACATCTTCTGAACTAACCATCCACTATACCCTCTAAATCCTTTCTTTGGCTGTTACTGCAAGTCAACCCCACTTTCACCTGCATAGTTGGTTTTGGACATCCTAATGCAGGCCCTCACCCTTATCCCTGACAAATCTACCTTGTGGAATTAGGTCCATTTATCTAGCTTGCTCTTCCCTCCTCTAGAAAAGCTGCAAGGATTTTGCACTGAACTTTCCTGTCCTTGTACCAAATCCTGCTCCTGGAAGATGGCATCCCCAGATTCAGGTCTTCAAGTTCCACATCTCTTCTGTCCTTTGCAGAAATTCTTTATCTTCTTTGTCTGCTCCTCACTCAGTCCATTCCGGGGCTTGCTAGAGGGAGGTTGGCCCCACCATTCTTCAGTAAGTACTGATAGAGAAACACCAGTGAAGTTGTTTATTTTGAACAAAGAGTTCAGGATTTGGCTTTCCAGGAGAATATCTATGGTTTTGGGGAATCACCCAGAGAACAACTTTTCTGCCATAGAACTCAACAGCATCTGTGGTTTGACAGAATGCCTGTTTTTTTTTTTTTTTTTGACAGAACATTTGATAGAACCGTCAAACAGAATCTTGGCCTGCTTTATGGGCTCCGTTCATGACAGGCTGAGTGTAGGGAGGGAAGAACACAAACATGAGGCATTCTTAAGACTGTGAACAAACAGGAGCAGTTGGCCTTGCCAAGAGCTGGGGGCCCGGTCTGCTCATCTGGAGGGGAAAAGCTTCCTGTGTATATGGATGTAAACCTGATCCTAAACGGGAAGGGAGACCTGGTTCTAAGATGAAGCCCAGAGAGCTTAGGGCAAGTCTGAGCACTGGTACTTACTCCATAGGTGAGTTTACTTCACTTCTCTGGGCTTCCATTTCCTCATCTGTAAAATGAAGTTGGTGATTCTAATCACTTGGCAATGTTATTAATTAAATAGATGGGATAAGGAATGGGAAAAGCACAGTACCCCACACATTCCCTGGGCAGCATGCTCCATATAATCCCATTTTTTAATTCAATGAGCCTGAACTCCTTCTCTTGTCTGCTAGTCTTTTAATTTTTCTTCATGACTTCTATTTTCCATCTTTGTAATGATCTCTTTGGCTCACTTCTCTACTGTTGTTTTCTGTTTATGAGTCTGTTAAGATTTGAGGACTGATATTTTAGCAAGCGTGTGTGTGTGTGTGTGTGTGTGCATGCACGTGCGTGAGGGTGGGGGTGGGGTATGGGATGCTAGATGAGGCCAAGTAGCACAGTGCCAGCAATGGAGGGTGATGCATACAAAGATGAGTTAGACACAGTCCCTAAACTTACAGCCTGTTTGCATATACTGTTATCTCCAGACTATAAAGGCAGCCTTACCATTTCTCCTGGGGTATGAGAAGTAAGAAAAAAAAGGTGAGTCAAGGAAGATGGAGAGGAAAGTGGGCAAGATGTTATCCATTCCCATATAACAAACAAGGATCTTCAGACCCTAAGAAAATAAGTATTGTCTTTCTCATACATTAAGCTATATCTAGTTGGGAAGAAAATTTAAGCCTCATAATGCATTGGTAAGAACTGGTCTGAAACTCAAGCTCCAACTGGTAGAAGTCCTGGCTACAATGACATAATTTAGGAAGGTGATGTAGGAAGCATGGCTGTTGTGTGCCTTCTAGGATTCCCTATGCTCTTGAGGAACAGCAAAAATTGAAAGAGAGAACACAAACAGGAGAAATCAAAGCCTGGATATTTCAGACAGTGAACTTTTCTCAGAGACACCAAGGTTATGCCAGACTTTGGTGTGTTTTATGGATTCACCCTAATCAACCTGAACAGGGCAGGACTAATGAGTTTCATGGCAAAAAGGTTTTTTTAAAAATTTTCCCCCAAAATTTTTATTGTAATTTGAGTGAAAGTTTACAGAGCAAATTCATTTTCCATCTCGCAGTTCATACACATTTTGTTTCATGACATTGACTGCAATTCCCCACAATATAACAGCTCTCTTCCCACTTCCTCCCCATAGTTACTTCTTCTCTGTGCCCTTCTCTCTCATGCACTCTCACCCCTGAGCTATGCGAATGCTGCCCTTCTGTTTCTCATAATTGATTGCTCTAAGGGGTGTATCTACCTGATGTAAATGTTCACTATATGCCTGTCTGTTGTTTGGCTGGAAACCACAGAAGTGAGTTCAATTCCAGACGTGAAGGGTAACTAGGGGCCATAGTCTTGGGGGTCTCACCAGGCTCTATCAGACCAGTAAACCTGGTCTTTTTTATGATTTTGAGTTTTGTTCCACCTTGTTCTCCCACTCTATCCAGATCTCCTAAAAGTGGCTCTTTTCTGATGACTGTTTTGCAGCAGGTAATAATATAGTCAGAATACCTGTTGCCTATGATGCTCACATCTGCCATTTCAATACAGCAGGTAGCTCAGAACCTGAAGTAGAAAAGACTGAGGGTACCAAAGGAGATTCCTTCATGCTGTGGTAGAAGTCTGCACAGTGATGCTTCCTGGGAAGGGGTGTGTACAGGGCAGGGAGCAGTGAACTGGCCAGGCGAGACTACTCCTGAGGACTGGCCACCAACCTCTTCTGGCTGGGCCCTTCCCCACTGACATAGTGTGAGAGGAGGGAGCAGAAGGAGCTTCCCATGCCAAACTTGCCAACCTGTCTAAGAGGCATTCATGTCTACAAACAGATGAGCCTCTACTTCATTATCACCTCGGCTGGGCCATCTTCACATCTGATATTAGATTAAAGAGGTGCTAAAATCAATCAGCCTAGAGCATAATTTCCAACATGGAATGAAAATCAACCTTATGGGCCCACACATAGCCAGATGGACCATCACCACCTGATTTTATTAAAAATAGAGGAGTTGTCACCACTGACAACCTTAATATTCCACTTTCTTCTTCTCCTTTTCTCCAAAATGTTCTCATTGTCTGTCCAGCAATCATCACCTTCTCATCATTGAATAATGTATAATTTTAATAAACAGCTAATATTTATTGTATACTTACAATGTGCTAGACACTAAAAATAATCATAATGGGAAAGGAACTAAGAATTTTTGAATGCCTACTATGTGACAATGCTTCCCCATCCATTATATCATTTAGTTTTCACAACCAATTGTGTGAGAGAGAATATTATTAAGACCATTTAACAGATGAATAAATTGAAGCTTAGAGAGGTGACATTTGTTCAAGGACACATAGCTAATGAATAGAAGAGCTGTATCTATTGTTGTTGTTGTTGTTAGGTGTCATTGAGTCATCTCCAACTCAGCAGCCTTCTGTACAACAGAACAAAACACTGCCCGGTCTTGTGCCAGCCTCATGATCCTTGCCATATCTAAGCCCATCGTTGTAGCCACCATGTCAATATACCTTGTTGAGGGCCTTCCCCTTTTTCATTGATCCTCCACTTTACCAAGCATGATATCCTTCTCCAGAGAATAGTCCCTCTGACAACACGACCAAAGTAGGTGAGACGAAGCCTGAAGCTTTATTTCATTCTATTGGTAGTTCTCTGAGGAATTTAAACATCAGAATTCTGGCATCATTCAATAGCAGGCTGACAGTCACTTTCATAGACTACGTGGCTGCAGGATGGAAACCACACAACAAGAATGGCTAAGATGTCTGGAGTAAACTGGCTGTACAAAGTGGTCCATGTGACTGTATTTTATATCATAAGGCATGGAGCAGGATAAAATGCATAAAGTACTCTACACTTACTCTGACAACCAAATGAGAAGGAAGAGTTTAATCTATGTTGTTGTTGTTATGCACCGTTGAGTCAGACCTGACTCATAGCGACCCCTCCTTGGTTTTCCGAGGCAGTATCACTATGGAAGTAGATTGCCCAATCTTCCTTCTGAGGAGTGGTTGGTGGGTTTGAACCACCAGCCTTCTGGTTAGCAGTCAACTGCCTTAGGCACTACGCTACCAGAGCTGCCATAGTCAAAGGGATTTAGGCCAGAGTCAGATAAAAGGTCATACAGTTAGTGAGCTGCAGAGATAAACATCTGAATTCAAGTTCTCAGAATCTAAGACCCATTCTTTTTTCATGTAACTACTCTAAAGAAAGGCCATGAGAGCAGGGAGGCCAGACAAGCAGAGGCTGCACATTCTCTGGTCCAAAAAAGGTCTCCTACCTGCCATCTTGCCTGCTGATTGTGTATCCAAAGAGGGGGTTATTGACAAAACTGATGTTCACACCAACCAGTGGGGTCCCATCTGATGTCATCACTTGACCACGAATGACACACGCATGCCTGTGGGAAGAGAAAAGAGAATAATGTGATCTATCTTTTATGTTCAAAGCTTGGCTGGCAAAGAACCCCTGGAGATCAGAATACAGAAGGCAAGTCACATGGGCACATCTTGTATCCAGGGGCTCATGATGTTCACTCAAGATAAATGATAAGCTTTTTTTTTTTTTTTTAAATTTTGCATATCGCCTCAAATTAAGGCATCAACATTCCCTCAAGAGAACTACTATTAGGAAGAATTCTCAAGTATCTCATTCCTGGTTGTTTTCTAAAGATACTATATTATGCTCTAATGAGATAAAGCTGATGCCAGAGGGCAGTACAGTGTGGTTATTTGTGTAGATTTTGGAATCAGGTGACCTGGGTTCAAATCCCAGCTCTTGTACTTCCTAGCTCTCTGAACTTGCTCTTTTACTGTCTGTGTTTTCATCCCAGTACAGAGTAAACTCCAGAGTGGCTGTCATTGTCACTAATAGTTTCATTGGAAGTGAATATACAAGGAAGTGAACAAAGTAGAGTATACTTTCTCTCATCTGGCATTAGAGACAGGAGAAGGGCAGAAGAGTAGAACCTGTCACCTCTCCCAGTATCCCCCTTCCCTGTTCTGTAGTCTCTCTCTTTTCATCTATATTGTAGACAACGCACCATCTGTTTTCCCCACACTTGCCAGGTTGTTTAAAGCCTCTGTGCCTGTGCAGTGATCTTCCATCTGCTTAGAACGACATTCTTGTACCCCTTTCCCAATATTCTCATCCTTTAAGACCCAGATGAAAATGATGCCTCTTCCCTGAAGCTTTTCTTTATGCCCCTTATCAGAACTAATCACTCTGTCCCCCAAACCTAACATAAACACCATGACACCCTACCATACCACATATGTTTTTTCTTCTGCGTTACATTGTGAGCTCTTTGAGACTATGGCCAAGAGTTTTCTTTTTCCTTTAATTCCTCTCCATACTACATAGACTATGCCTAACAAGTTCCATGTCATTGTTAAAAAATGGTGGATTGAGCAAATAAGTTAGGACAATTAGAGATCATCTACAATAATGTTTCTCAAATATTTTATAAACCTTTTTAACAGATACAAAAAGGTCCTGGGGCAGCATCTGACCTCCTCTAACATCACAAGGGAGAAGACGGATCAAGGTCAACAGCCTAAGGCAGACATACGCCACCCTCCAACTTTCTTGCCAATTCTGACACCAACTGTTCTTCTCATGGCTCTACTTCTTTGCTGGGTTCAATAATTTGTTATAAGGGCCACAAAGAACTCACAGACCATACTTATGATTATGTGATTTATTAGGGAAGTTACAATTCAGGATCAGAAACAACTCAGGACGTAGTTCTTCATTCAGGGCAGCTTCTTCTCAGCTGTGCCGTAGGTATACTTCTCTCTGGCCTTTAGAGCCTGGGCCTTGCAGCCTCTTGGCCTCTGCCCTGCTTGGGCAAGTGTTACAAAGCTCTTTTAGCTCTGCAAATAGGTACCCAGAAAAGCACCCTACTCTGCCAGTAAACCTGCCCTAAAACACTCAGCTTTCTCACTCCATGGGCCGGGAAGCCCATTGCTCTCTCATGCTGGTCTCTGCTACAGCAGTTTCTCTGCCATTGCTTCTCATAATCTAATGATGTCTCACCATCTCAGAAAAGTGTTACATCTCTCTCTCTGTCTTCTGCATCAGGTCATGGATGTTTAGCACAGGGATCTTGGTTCCAAAGGTCACAGTCCACTCCTGACTCTTCTTTCTTGATGGTAGTGAGATCCCCTTTTCTACCTCTGGGATGGCTCAATTTAAGCCTGTTGTTGTTATGTACCATCGAGTCGGACCTGACTCATAGCGACCTCTCCTTGGGTTTCTGAGGCAGTATCACTACGGAAGTAGATTGCCCCATCTTCCTTCTGAGGAGTGGATGGTGGGTTTGAACTGCCAGCCTTCTGGTTAGCAGTCAAGTGCTTTAGGCACTATGTTACCAGAGCTCCCACAATTAAGCCTAGCCGATGGCAAAACTGACCATTCCCCATGTTAGGGTTACATACACCTTATTTGCATGGTTCAGCCTCCACAAGGATATCATGTACCTTATTTATATTATTAGCAAGCTAGCCAATCACCTTGGTGGGCCACAAGTACTTACATTTGCATAGTCTCACTCAGTTATGTGATAGGAGTCATTAAGACAATGGCTAGAAAGGCCATGTTAAATAATTCCTGTACTGCAGCAGATGACATTTTATAAGGACTCTGAGATGGAAAAGAAATAAAAAGATCTGTTCTAGATGAAGTAGAGGTGGGGAGCCTTTTTCCCCTTGCAGGGATTCTGAAGGCAACTCTATGGAATCTTGGTCTCTAGAGAAGTCAGTTAGAAAATCACTGAATGAGTGGAACCCCCCATCATTTTCTGAAGAGGAAACTGATTCAGAGAGCTTATATTATTTGCCCAGTGTCACACATGGAGGTCATGGCAGAACCAGGCTTTGAATCAGGGCCTCTCAACTCTGGGTCCAATGCTCTAGATGAATCTGTTTACCACTGACAATGGGTGAACATGAAGGAGCTCACAGGTATCAAAGTCCTAAGGTACTGGAAGAAAGCTCTCATTGATAGAACAAATATAAGGTAAAAATGTAGGCTCTGCTGTCTCTATATCTTTCTCTATTAACCTCATTCTAAAGGCTTTTTTTTTTCCCCCCCACCTGGCTCAGGGAAGAGCTACCAATGAGCCCATGGGCTTTCATAAAAAAGCCCCTGTTTTATTATCTACCTTCTTAGAGTGATAAACTTTTCTCTGTTTGACAAGAAAAGCAATTAACACTAGGCTTGTAAGCAGCTGGTCTCACCAGTGTCAGCTTGTCCTTTCAGAAGGTAAGAACAACTACCCACAATGCACCAAACTCCTCACCCCCACTCCACCCTACTTCACCTCACTACACACAATCTGGTTAATGCTAATTCAGTCAGTGGTTTCCTTCCGAGGCCCTTGGTCTAAATGCAATTACATGGCAAACAAGTTAAGCGGGTAAGGCTCAGCAAAGACTCTCAGTCCTGCTCTGAAGGTCTCTCAATATATTTATGTGAAATTATCTTTCTGCTAATGGGAAAGATTTATTCCAGCAATTGTATTCAGATGGTATTGAGAGATGCTTTCTTTAATGGAGGAAAATTGAATTTCTTATTGCTGGAACTTTGTCCTTCTAGAGAATTACTAACAGATCTCATCTCCTGGTGCTGGCTACTATCCAGCCTTCTCCTCACATATGCGCCTTCAGATTCTGCCTGGACAATAACCAGCCCTCTGGGGATGATTTCCTTTTTGGGACTGCCCTGGCTGCTGCCCCTCAAACACATGTGGGGCAGCCTCCTCTGATTGATCTCTCTTTGGGGACTTCTTGATAATTGGGAGACACTAAATCAGCACTGCTTGGCTCTCATATAGCCTCAACTTCAGCAAGCCAGAGCAGATGTAATTTTAGCCCAGGCTCCTGTGGATTGCTTTGGATTCTGAAGATTAAGTTGACTCCCAGTGCCCCTGCAGGCCATAGAGGCCTCTTGCCAAAAAAGGCATTGGCTCAGGAATTAAGTCCTGCAGAAAAACACTTCCATCTTCCTTCCGTCTGACTATGATTTTCTGTTGCCAACAAAGCCCAGTTCACCATATATAGGCTTCTAGGACAAAGGAAGGGGGAAGTCTGCTCTGGGGAGGCCTCTTAGATTTGTCTGCTGCCACATGCTTTTGGTCCAGGGAGGTTTGAAAAGATGTGAGTGCTGGGCTACCTAATGCTTTCTTTCTTCATCAGTTGATTTAATTGATACCACCAGTAGTGTGCTGGTAAATATGTAACAACTGGCTAAAAAAGAAGAAAAGAAAAGATAAAGTGCCCTAATTTGTAGTGTTTCCCTATTTCTGTGGTGAAGGTAGTGCAGGGCTGGGCAGTTTTGTTATGTGTGCTGAGTCACTGAGTTGGAATTGAATTGACGTTACCTAGCTCTGGTAGCATAGTGCCTAAGGCACTTGACTGTTAACCAGAAGTCTGGCAGTTCAAACCCACCAGCCACTCCTCAGAAGGAAGACTGGGCAATCTACTTCTGTAGAGATTGTTGTTGTTGTTGTTGTTGTTTGCCATTGAGTCGGCCCCGACTCATAGCGACCCCTCCTTGGGTTTCCGAGGCAGTATCATTACGGAAGTAGGATTGCCCAACCTTCCTTCCGAGGAGTGGCTGGTAGGTTTGAACCGCCAGCCTTCTGGTGAGCAGACCACCTTGGAAACCCAAGGAGGGGTCGCCATGAGTCAAAATCAACTCAACAGCAGTGAGTTTTCTTTTTTTAATGTTTAATAATTGGATTGCAAGATTCTTTAATAGTCAGCTCTTGTGAGCTTATATAAGCTGACTTCTGCACATCAATGGACCAATGACCCCACACTAAGGGTCAGGCACTCGCTCAATAGGGGATGTGGCAAAGAAATGGTTGCCATACTGTGAAATTCCATAATGGAAGACTGCCTTAGTGAGACCCAACTAAAATGGGAGAACAGATCATTGTCACCAACTTGGCTTCCTAACTGGCTCATATGATCCTCTTATCACTGGTCCTATATTTGATGTGTTTTTGTTTCCCTTGGTCACTGTCCCAGCATAATGGAGTGTTAGAATGTTATTTTCTACTCATCTAGAGTCCCATCTAACCTGTCATCACCTCAGTAAGGCTGTCACTAACTCCTTCTAGCACAATTAATCACTCCCTCCTCTGGGATTCTCCACATCTTAGGAGTATCTTTCCATTACTGAGGCCATCATATATCATTCACATTTACATAGCTATCTTACAAGCTTATATTTGAGTCAGAGGAGGGCTGGGACTACATTTCAGGGTAGTTAGTGTAAGCAGGAAAGGGGCCCTGATGGTGCAATGGTTAAGCGCTTGACTGATAACCAAAAGATTGGCAGTTGGAACCCACCAGCATTTCCTCAGGAAAAAAGGCCTGGCAAGCTCCTGTAACA